AAAACGAAAAACAAAACCAAAAACACCATTACGCTCATATTACGTGTACACGTTGTTGTGAGACATCGTGCCGATTCCAACAAGAAATCAGAAAAAAATGAAGCAGCTGGTACCTTAACAAGTTTCACTCTATTTATTCCTGGGGTGGTAGTTAAATAACGACTTTCCACCGAGGGTAAGAATTATGTGCATCCTAGTTTTACGTTATTTTTAAAGACGTCCATTGGGAGACCAAGAATTTCTTTTTGTTGAAAGCAGTGAGTTCTTATGCAGTGTTTGATAAATGCCTTGAGATTTACGCGGGAAAAGTATAATGGTGGGCGAATGCCCTTGCAAATATCTTTTGAAAAAGATTTGTTTCCCTCTTTGATGGTTTCGCCATTGTTTTCACACGAGAGACTTTACCACCAACAGGGGAACGTATTCTGCATCACTTCAGATTGGGCTGCTATATTTGGCAATTAACTAAATTAAATGTAACAGCCAAAAGTGTCTAACCACTCACACTGATACAATTTTACAGTGGATTGAACTATGCAATGGAAAAACACTATTAAAACCAGTTTTCAGAACATAACATAATCTGGGCCGGTCTCAGTGAACTGCGGTAAAACTGCAACTGGGACAGCACGTACGTAACACGTTGCTGTCACAAGCACTTTACAGTTCCTCTGAGGAAGCAGAGTCGACACCATCATGGATGTCCTGATCTTGGAAGTTTGTTAGCTACTTCTCTTTCACTTCCTCAGGTTTTCAACAGCGTTCTCGCACCCTACACTTTTGCACAAATCTGTGCAGATCATTTGAGACTCCTGCCTATCGGAGTGTTCAGGCACCTAGACTGTTTAAAAGAGCAGCTAACCAACTGAAGCACGGCATGGGTGGCAGGTTTCCTTGTCTACGATTGTAATTGTATGGCAACCACTTCCTCCTCTTCTGGCCACCTAAACACAGTTGGAGATGGGACATTGATCTTTCTGTAGCGCCCGTCTGAATATTGCTGGTTGACAACTAGCTCTTGCAAAGTGTAGATAGCATGCATCATCATTAAGGCAAAGTTGCTCCTCACCATACTGCTTCCCGGTCGTAACTGCACTTGTTCATTTTTACTTCCTAGACGTGATGCACATTGCAAACAGACTCTTATAGCTTTTTGTTGAGATCAGCTGAATTTCTTAAGTCCCTGCCAAGATCTGCTAACCTCTGATGTGTGGATAAACTTCGATGAAGCCGTTATGAGCTTGAATGCATCCCTCTTCAACTTTCGATAAAATGTTCAGGTTGTATCACAGCCGATAAGGTGAAACCAAGTAAGAGCTACTCTAAAATCTTGACCCCAAGCATTTGCTGTACTTGTGATATGGATGGTCCGTTCCTTGGCACCGGTACCTTTCAAATATAACATATAGAAGAAAACTTAACAATAACGTGAAAACACACACAAAGCCCTTTACGACAACTGGCATGTTTAAGTGTTTTGCAGCGGTGTTGGACAGCAAGCAGCTATAAATTATATTAGACGAAGCAAACATCTATGGTAACCGTTTCATTGTCCACAGTGACGTAATGTACAGCTATTGCATCTGTCAGGCAATAAATACAAGGGAATGCCACAAGGATTGTGATGTATTTAACATGTAAAGAAAATAAGACCAAGTAAACTTGCTTGCACTTGATCAATGCCAACATTTACAAATACATTTCGAATTGCAAATATGTGTGACATATATTGTACGCAATATCTACTGTCATTAGAATCACTTGTGTGATAAAAGCTGTGTTGATCCTTGTGGGAATCTCCAGACTGCATCAAAGGCAATGATAGCTGTATCAGTGTCTAGCCGGCAAATTGTAGCCTAGTAGAGCAGCCACCCTCGTTATATACAAACTGCAAAACTGCATGCGAAAGCAAACGTGTGTCTGCCTCACCATGGTCATATGCCAGCTGATGATAAACTTTTGAGACTCCACCATCTTGTCTTGCTGCATGCTTGAGATGGTGCAAAATTGATGAGGATATTGCCATGGGCTAAGAAAACTAGTGCCTATATTACACACTCAAAAATGGAAGTAATCGGGAGAGAATAGAGGATTCCTACACAAATCTCACAATTTTCCCAAGCGGGACTCCCTTTCGGTCTCCAGTTTTGCCCATTCTGTACAGCACTCTTTCAAAGTGCTAGCTAGGACCTGGAACAATGGTCCGTGCTGGAACGAAGACAGTGTTTAGATTAATAGGGTAAACATTGAATTTATGATATTTTGAAACGGTTACATATTTATTGTTATTTTGAAATACTTCACGTGATCTAAATGTTCTCTATTTCTGTTAACCTTTAAGTGTGCAGCGTTTTGGAATTTGGCTTTGATTACTGCCAGCAAAATGCAAGCAACATGTTTTCCCCCACAACTGAACTCATCGCACGAGTGCGCACNAATAGCCAGTGCATTGACGGGCACACACGTACCGCATGCACGTGCATGAGCAGTGGACGCCATTTAAAAAAAAAATTGGGGCACATTTCTGCTTTGCGATTGGCTAAATTTCATCCTCCGATAGTATATCTGTCTTGTTCTTCATTTTGTATTTCATTGCTCCGTTGTTAGTGTGTTAAAAAGCTTGCAGAAGAAGCATAGTTTTGGATATTTAAACATTTTACTGAACCATTTTACATTTTTCTGTAAAAGTTATAATTAGGAGGATTACAGCGCGGTCGAATACAAACTGTGATGATGGTCTTACACTCTGCCGGTTTCACACAGGCGTAAAATTTAACGTGTTTTTGAATATTCGAGTACATACAATGATACTGTTTTTGTTTCACAGTCTAACCTTCTGCGAGCTTGTGATTTCAAATCCTTCACAGAGGCCATGGCAGGTGAGTTATTACTGTGGACTTTTTTACTTGCAATGATCAGTGAAGGCCTTAGTTTGAATGAACAAAATGTGACGTCTACACTCGTAGGCAGGAGGTCGTGGGTTCGAGTCCCACTCCAGTAGGCTTGTATTTTTTCCTCATCACTCGAACAAGTACTAATATAATGATAATGAATTTACGTCCATGTAAGAGCAAAACCTTCAAATTAAAATTAACATCTCCCCGACGCTATAGTACATCTTGAAATGTGTAACAAGCAGTTGTTTCAATAAGCCTTTTGCGAGTTAAATTTGAATAAAATGTGGTACACTGATTTACGTGATTACACATAAACACAACTTGAATTCCCCATACTAAAGACACTGTTGCTATGCCTCGTGATTTGAGGCAAGGTTTCGATGGCCACCACCATCTCTGGAATAGACTGGTTCCTTTGTGCCCTTTTTATCCATTGAAAACAGTGTATTGAGGCAAGGCGTTTCTGATGTAACTAAGCAAAAGCTTGCCCCAAATCACGAGGTATAGTAAGAGTGTCTATAGTATGGAAAATTCGAATTGCTATGTTCACGTGAAAATAAAAAACTCAGTGTACGTGATTTTGTCGCCAGTCACATTCTGAAATTTAGAGTTATTGAGACAATTGTAACGCTTAAAAAATTCGTGACTGCTTTTATCACGCT